CTTCATCACAATGATACGGCGAGCGCTGAGACTGATGAGATTGTAGCTTCTCGAGACAAATGAAAAGGCAGTCAGTCGTGCTGCGCCTCCAGTTATGCTCTCATCCGCTTCTGCTTGCATAAAAAGAAATGAAAGAGGGAATTTTTTTTTTTGTCTGTCAAAAAAAATGTCAAAAAGATAAGGCAAAAGTGGTCTTTACACTTTATTTTTTTTTACAAATCCCCTGTGTTCGCAGGCAATTATCGACAGTGTTCCTCGCACACAAGAAAACACATCCTGGAAATCTCTGATTATAGTGGACAATGCCCGGTCTCAATTTCCCCGAAGCCCAGCAGAGCTCGGCACCAGACGGGTATTGACAAAGACAGGAGAGAGAGAGAGATAGAGAGAGTTTACACATGCACACTGAAATAAAGAGTGAAAAAAAGACAGAGACCCAAAGAGGAGGACCCAGAAAAAAGAGAAAAGACCAGAGTGACAGGATGCGAGGCCGGACGCCGGATGGTCAGCCTGGCATTGTCTCGGCCTTACGCACAGCGTCTGAACTCGTAAGAGCCATTAATAAGCACTCCGCCTGCGGCTTAGACGGGGAGGATTATCAAACGACACTTTTAGCCTCTTAAGCGAGCCACAATTGCAGCCAACATGGTCCGAGAGAGCATGAGACAAAAGGACTCGCCGCGAGGATGAGCGGGAGCGCTACAGGACTTAGCTAAATGTCAGGCAGCTTGTGCATTGTAGACGGAAGTTCTTTATGCGCTATTGTCTCTGTTGTTTGAACGGCTGCTGTTCATGTAGCCTACTCTTTTCTCTGAGCAAAATGGGAGAGGGCAAAGGGGGGGAGGAAGGGAGGAAGACGGGAAGCGCAGCCACCGGTGGGTAACCGCCGCCTGGACGGTTGTTGCTAAGCGTTTAATCTCCCGCGTTTGGAGAATACAAACGATCTTGTAATCGTCCCCCAACCTTGACACGAGCAGCAAGGTCGCGAGGGAGCCGGGGCTGTTTTGCATTTCTCACAGATGCTTTGCCGAGACACGAAGAACAATTAGCGAATTGGATGAAGAGGAATTGAATGTGTGTCTCACTCCGCCCCTCCTCCTCCTCCGTCCCCTCGGGGTCGTTACCTGGCACGCCCCCAACACCACGGCCTCCTCCAGCAGACTCCTGAAACCTAATAGTGATAAAGAAGTAGTCGATGCTACCAAGTGCGGTTAGACTACGCATACCTGTTTAGGCCTGCAGCAATTGATCCTTAACTTTTTACACAAGTTGATTAAAGGAGCTGTAGTTAACATTCTGAACAATAATATAACTGTTATCTCTGTAAAGATACAGATGAGTAAAGTCTATCTGAGCAGAGAACAAAGTCGACCTCCCTCTGTTTGTGTTGTTATCCGAGCTTCTCCTTGCTTTGTTGACATAGCCCGGCAGTTTACAGCTGATAACGTCGTACAGACCGACGGCATCGGTCCACCGGTTGAAATCTTGAAATGTTGATCGACACACTGATAAATGAGCAGTATCTATCTGTTGTTTTTTTTGACAGTGTGCCTCTGTTTGCCACATATGTTGTGATTTAGACACTGACTGAACTCAAGAGTGTCTGCTCGTCTGCATAGTGACACCTCAAAGTGAGTTGGAGGGTGCTAATGTGTTAATGCGGTTCTGTGTGTGTGTGTGTGTGTGTGTGTGTGGCTCTGTGCTTCGGCCCTTGTATCGTCTTTATGTAATTATGGGACTTTTGTCCTCCGACAACATCACAACACCTCCAATGTTGAATATGCTGTCAGTTGAGATATGATTATACTGCAGGCAAATTCAATTTCTGTTTTCTGCTGTTTGATTATCAAAGCCTGGACTGTGCTCGTTTAAGTAAAGCCAGTAGGAGTTTAGCCTTATTCCACAGAGGGATAATAGAATGAGCCCTTCTCAGCATCGTATCAGCACAATGGTCACCGAGTCCCTTTTGGATGTGTATTCATTTCCTCGTAGCGGTAAAGCAGCCTTTCACAGTGTCCCATAAACGGGATGTAATGTTACGAGCAACTTTTATCAGTTTTATACCTTTTATTTCTTTATCTGTTCGAATTATGATTCCATTTTCAGCGTTTTATAGTGTTGTTTTCTTTAAGTTAATTCATGTGGTGTGTCTTGTTTCTCACAGTGCTGCAGCCAACAGTCGCTTTCCATGGCAAATAACACAGCTTGTTAACATCAAAGGTAAAAAGGAAAAGAGGCAGACGGAGTGCTTGAAATTTAAAGTGATGAAACAGTGCTAAAACTCAACTGGGTCAATTAAGGGTGAAGCTTTGCTTTTACTCCAAAACTTTGTATGTGATGTTAGAACAGTTCTTTTTGAAGGATAAACACACAGCCATAGAACCGGTACTGCTGCAGTCTTTAAAACAATTCAACTGTGCAGACCTGCGGCAACCCTTCGGTTCTCAAAAGTCAAGTCAATGCTGAAGTGTCTTAAAGCTGCATTCTCTCTACTGACCATCAGGGGGCGACTCCTCTGGTTGTATAGAAGTCTATGAGAAAATGACTCTACTTCTCTCTTGATTTATTACCTCAGTAAACATTGTAAACATGAGTTTATGGTCTCAATCTCTAGTTTCAAGTCTTCTTCAATACAGCATGATGTTCATTTAGTACATTATGGTCCATTTAGAGTCACACAGACCATAAAGCAGGGGATGCTTTAGGGCGGGGCTACACGGTGATTGACAGGTCGCTATCAGAGCCGTAGACGGCGTCTCTAAGTCACTTCTCCACAGTCCAAATACGGTCACTTCAGTTCACTGGTGTGATGGCCAAAATGTCAAACTCAAGGCTTCAAAGCGAAGTCCACAAACCATTGGATGACCATTCGTCTTCATGACGACTACGCCCACTCCTCACCATTTAGTGTTTGAGTCTAGATCAAATCTGTCAAATTGACTCTCAAACTGTCATTTAACAATTCATGTCTTTGCTTGTGAAAATATATTCACTTAAACATATAAATACACATAAATCAAATTCTGAACTGGAGTTGCTCCTCTGCCAGTGAATTGTATGTGGGTGCCTGCGTAGGAGTCGTTCCTGTTTCCTAATATTGATCGAGCTTTCTCACGATCACATGAACAATGTGTAAACTCAGGGCAGGTTTTTCAAATCAACTTTTATGTCTAATTTATTACCATTGACATTTTCCGGATGGGTTTGAGAGGCACCAGATGCCTCGCTTGTATCTGTTTGAGCCGTGCCGTTTTTACTGCTATAACGGCCAAGACCCATGAATCACAACAGGAGAAGAAGGGGGGGGGGGGTCCGGGTCCGGGTCCGGTCAAGCTCACGGAAGATAGATTAAATCAGGGGGGAAGAAGCAAGGTGTCCCAGGCAGTGATGATGGAGATGCTGGCGTGTGTGTGTGTGTGTGTGTGTGTGTGTGTGTGTGTGTGTGTGTGTGTTTGCTGGGGGGCTAGAGTAGGCAGAAGGTGTGAGCTCCACGTTCACATACTGTACACACTCAGGTGTGCACATCTTTGTGTGTTTGTATTCAGATGCGCTCACACGTATGTGCAAACCGAGCGCCGAGAAGTGTTAACGAGGACGCCAGGCTTATGGCTCCACGTTAGCACCGTCTCATGGCTGTCATCAGGAATGAAGGTGTTTGACGTGAGATTCTTTTTCTATTTCTGTTGCATATTTTTTACTAACAATTTACCTTGTTACTGTGTGGTAATTGATATATTTCCTGTATTTTTATTCTTACATACCAATTGCAGTATGTGTTTGAATCAGGATGAGTTTAAGGCTTGTTTGATTTTCCATAAAGCAGGAGTGCTATCGGAAAATACGGTTATAGTATTTGCAGCAGATTAATTGTCATACATAGTATTTATACAGAATGAAATGGTAATCCTCACTGCTTCACAAGTTGTTTTTCTAATGACAGCACCATTCAAACATTCAGAATCACCCCTTGATGTCATATCATAGTGGGATAATGTTGACGTTCATTCTTCCTGTTTCGGGGTCTCTATCAAGTTCACAAACTGCTGCTGCAGATAAGGTGTTTGGTTGAGCAGCTGTTACACTTGGCAGGAGAAGAAGGCGAGGCCTCTCTCTGTCTGAGTGGTGCATCATCATTGATGCTATTATAATGAATCTGTTCCTGAAACCCAACAGCATGTTTCATTAGAGGCTCATGTGGAGCACCAGGAACCAAACAAAGTAATGAACAGCCATTGGGTGACAAATAGTGCCAGATTAGTTTCAGAGTCCTACTTGTGGGTCTTTGTTAGTTTTGCAGCAGCTGGGAGACGACTTCACTTTTGGTTTACACGATGAAATTCATGTGCTGCTAAATGTATTTGCTGATGTGGCCCACAGGAATGAAGGTGGCAAAGAGAGCTGGTTGCAGTTCAGGGGGCAGTTTTACATTTTACTGTCAATTATTATTATTATTAATATTATATTCAGTAAATCGGCTGGATATGCATCCGCAAGGACGCTTCCACAAATTTTTAGTTTTCAATCAGGTGGCAACCTCCTGAAAAGTAAAGCCAATGCTGAAGTGTCTTTAACTTGCATTCTCTCTAGTGTCCAGCAGGGGGCGACTCCTCTGGTTGTGAGAAAATGACTCTACTTCTCTCTTGATTTATTACCTCAGTAAACATTGTAAACATGAGTTCATGGTCTCAATCTCTAGTTTCAAGATGGCGTCGGCAAAAACGTCAAACTCGAGGCTTCATAACATCAGTCCACAAACCAATGGGTGACGTCACGGCGACTACGTCCACTTCTTATCGACAGTCTATGGTTGCAATCTGTGCTCATGAGACGCTGTTTTTTATGTTTACATTGTGCAGCTTTGGCTTGTACCTGTACACTGTGTAATAAGTAAAACATTGCGGATATAGAAAGTGTTTTTCTGTCTCTTAAGGTTTCATGAACTTGCTCATTGTCTCTTTACCTTTCCTTAATAAACCCTTTCCTCTCTCTCGCTCCTCCAGCCCTCTCTGACCCTGACGGAGATCCCTGCCGTAGGACTTACTGCGGTCGGGGGCGACAGTGTGTGCTGATGGCAGAAACCGGCCGCGCAGAGTGCGTTTGCCAGGAGAAATGTCGGCCCTCCTTTGTGCCGGTGTGCGGCTCGGACGGCAGGTTCTACGAGAACCACTGCGAGGTTTACCGCACCGCCTGCCTGGAGAGGAGACGGATCTACGTGGTGCACAGCAAGGACTGCTTCTTCAAAGGTACTGCTCCACTCTTCCACTAATACACTGACGCTGCAGAGGGAAGTGAATACTGTAAAAAAGGATTTATCATCGATTTTCGGAGCTGATGACGGAAACGGCTTCTTTCCTCATCTCTGTTGAGAGTTGCACATGCTCAGTACGGATCGGATAGAGACTGACAAGTGTCGTTGCTTTTCCTGTTTAGCTTAAATGAGCTGATAAATGACGTGATGACATGATATCGGATCGGTGCATAGACTGGTGTCCTTGCCGATACCCGATCCGGCAATATAGGTTTCATCAGAGCCAGTATCTGTATCGAAACAACTCTGCTACAACACAGGAACAGAGATACTGTGCAGGGGCTGTTTTGTCTTTGATGTCTGACTGCAGGTGTGGCACAGTTTAACACTTTTGATGCTTTTTGTTGAGCGGAGATTGCCCTGAAATGATGTTCTGATACCTGTGAGGCATACATTTGAAGGCCGCAGTGGGACTTTAGTTTGATGTTGAAACATTTAAACAGAAATATGGTTGTAGAGACAGACAAAGCAAATGTTTCACAACACGTTGCCATCTGTTGAGCTCTTGTTACGAGCATCAGTCACTGTGGAAATCACGGCGTGTCTGTCAGCCGCCTATTCAATCCAATTGAAAGAATGAAATAATTTGTTTGGTACTTACGACTGTGACTCAGGGTCAAGTTTGTCTGGGAAACCACAGCTGAGAATTGAGGCTAAAATCTGTATTCACTTCCTCTCTGCACATGTACTTGGCAGTTGGTTCCCAGTCACGAACACTGGTACCTAAATCATTTTATAGCGGCCCCTTTAAAGTTGATTTAACGATCAATCTAAACGTGGGATTTTAATGGTGTGTTTTCATTGAGGAGGTAAACAGTGTACATATGTTATTAACCAGCTTGGATTCCATCCAAGACGTAGCACTTCTGTTAGCACTCGCCCTGCTAATGCAAACATTTACACATAAATTCACTCGGCAGGTCCACACACACACGTGTAACTTTGGGAGATGCTCCCCCCCTCTGCTACATCGATATCCAGCGCACAAATTACCAGCGGGTTACTGTGGATCACCAGCTCTCTATAGTAAATCATTGGGATCTTCACTCCTTGGCTGTCACTCAACAGTCAGCATTATTATCCAACAAACAGCCCAGTCGCTTCATCATGACTTTGATTTACAGGTAACAGGTCGAGGCAGGGCTTCCACTGGTTTCATTCACACACACAAACATTAATTAAAAATCTTTTTATGCCGCTCCAACAGCGGTTTGTCCGTCCGTCTGAACGTCCGGACCAGGACAGAAGTTCTTCAAATTCGGCACAAACATCAACTTGCACTCAAGTTGAACTGAATAGAATTTGGTGGTCGAAGGTCACAGTAACAATGTATGTATACTTGTTTAAAGTGGTAGGTAGTCACTTTCCTATAATGCAGTCATACATGCATTTGTACCATGTACCTGTTGGCATCTCCTCCTCGTTAAATTTAGTTTTCCAGGTCAGACTAGTCTTAAAAAATCAGGGTGTGCCTGTTAAAACAGAAAGTAAGAGCCATAGGTATTTAGAGTGCAGGGTTTCATGTCAACGCGGTGCAAAAAACACCCGCTCACACACACATACACACACACACACACACACACACACAAACATGGCAGCATTTTTAGTCATATCACGTCAGGGAGGGAAGGATTCATGGCAGACACAACCATGCATAGCTAATCCACATTAGGGATGTTCAGTCGGCACATTAGGCTTATACTGGAGATGTCTGAATGCAAACCAGCAGGAGACAGAAAATGTTGGAAATCAGTCAGATGTCACGGGAATTATGTGCGTGTGTGTGTGCGTGTGTGTGTGTGTGTGTGTGTGTGTGTAATTGGGAAGTAATTATTGCACCTGACATACAAAGACATGATTGGAAAGCATGTCTCACAGTGTGCTCTGCTAGAGACATTATCCACAATAATTGTTTTTTTTAGTACAAACAACAGAGGAGCCGGAGAGGTGGCGCAGTTGTCTCTGGAAATGATAGAATCCCTGCTGGCCTGATTCCACTTTGCTCGCCGTCATCCGTACTGTCTCGCTCTGGAAAGTACCAACAGAACCTGGTTTGAATGATTCAATGTGTGAATCATCCCAAACGTTGAAATCGGCCGCCGCCGTCATGACGCCTTCTCCTCGTCGCCCGAGAAATGGAGTTTGTGTCAGTGCTCCACTTAGCGGGTGATCCAGTATTTAGGCTTACCGGCGCCTGGTTTTATGATGCTCTGCCACTCGAACACGTCGCCCAGCTGAAACTACTGGGGCTTTGTGCCCCCCCCTTCACACACACACACACACTGCGCCAACTAAAAGTGCCACACGTGTTTTACCAGCGCCTGGAAACGTTAATGTAACATGACTACCAGGCAGCACCTGTGACGGTAAAATATGTTTTTAAGAAAAAACAACAGTCGCATTTACTATAGAATTTTATATAATTGAACGACTGTTCCAAATTGCAGAAGTCACGACCCATCCGGAGTACCGATGTTTTTCCTTTGCCTCATATATTGGAGCATTCAGCATTGAATTGATTGATGAATGAATGAATGAATCCTGATCGATGGATCGTTACCCACTTATTAATTATCAAAAATGTCAACATAAAAACTAGAAGATCCATCTCACAGTCATTGACTGACGTGTGGGTATCTCTCACTGGGTGCTGTATTGTTGTTCCCTTGCAGTGTTCTATGGAACAAACTGAGTGAAGAGTAGATGAAACATTTCACCATCCTTTTCTACACATTGATTTATTTTTTCTTTCACCCCGCTCCCGATTTTTTTCCTATTTGTTTTGATTATATACTTTTGAGGCCCGTTTTCGAGAGCCTAGAGCTTATTAGATGCTCGATGGCGAAACATTTTTTACTCTCAGTCTCAGAGAACGAGACCCTCAAAGACGAAAATGGATCTATTGGGTCCCTACAGCTATGCATTAGGCCATGTGGCAAAATCATTTGGCCTTTTTTTGAGGGTAATTTTGCTTTCAAATTTGATAAACCTAAAAGCTGTGCTGTGAAACCAATTCCCCCTCAGCTCAGGGCGATGGCGACGGAAGTCACAGTCTGGAATTTGGGATGTACTTATGCAGAGCTTCCGTCTCCTCGTATCTGGATTATTGTGATTCGCTGTGCGCAGCCAGTCCAAAAGTCTCCTCTCTGGCAAAAGAAAGAGGAAGCACATTTGTGTTGTGCTGCTGATCTCCCTTCACTGACTCCCACTTAGAGTTGATTTTAGGTTTTGTTTATTCATAAAGCTATGAATAATCACAACCTCCTCTTTCACTTAGGACATCTTGTTGTTGCTGCCTCAAGGCTGCAGAATACCACACATCATTCACACTTTACTCATCTGAAATACTGTCGGCACATTGTCGCTGTCGAGCCTCGCACATTCCACTATATGTGTCATTAAGATCGTGGTCTGGCGATGCTGTAACAAGTAAAGCGTCGGGCCGGTAGATACGAAGGTTTGACGATTTGTTACTCGGCGGGTTAAGAAGGACCACTGTGTGTGGGAGGATCCCCTCCTCGGGACGCTGGCCCTTGCCGGCGCATTTCCTCCATCCCCAACTGGCTCTCGATCAGCTTTGAAAGGCCTGGGGTGAAGTTTCGGATATTTACAGCTCCCCTCACCCGGACTTTATTGCGTCCCGGAGTCGTGCACTGAGTGCCCGCTGCGCCCTCCCTCCATGCAGGGAATGGTATGCCTTAGTAAACGCCACAGTGAACGACTGATAACACCATTGTTGCCTGATTAGACGAATGTCCCACTCACTTGGCTGCCATTGATTTTCCCTGTTTGGAGAAAATATTCTCACATCTCATCTACCTAGAATAAATAATCTCTTCCAATACGTTTAACGCATGAAGCACAAAGTTTCTATGACACGTACTGTAGTTTAGTTTGTTACTCACGCGGTTCAGCAGTTCTGGCAGGCAGCACATTTCTGTGTGAGTTTGCAGATTCATTTGTCTCCTAGCTGCCTGCATCAAGTGATTCTTAGTGGATGTTTTCCAGGCTAAAATCCTGAAGATACAACTAAGCTTAAAAGATTAAGGCGGGCCGTGTTAGGCGACTTCTGCCACGGCAGATTACTTTGTTTAATTTTTTGTTTTTATTTATTTTTGTATATTCTGTATGTATCATGTCGCATCAGATGTTATTTTATGAGCCAAAGAGGGCAGATCTACTTAACTTTTACTCTTTTAATTAGATTTTTATTTTACTTTTCTCAGCGGGGGGAAACAAGGCAGAGGATTTAATGGCTCAAACTAGACCTGTTGAGGCAAAAGTCACAGAGGAAATTTACGAAGGAATGTACGCCTCGACTATCCGTTGGTACGCAGATCGTACTCCCTCTGATGCAGCTTGAAGGAGACTGAAGCCTGCTCTGAACCGATAGCACTGGTGTGTACTCTGTGTTTGGAAATGGATTTGTGGTTTGTGACAGGCAGGAGAGGTGATTATATTTAGGGTGAAAAGGATGACTTTAAACCTCTGGATGGGTGTCTCTGTTCCAAGCTGTCATTGGTTCCTTTGTATTTACACACAGACAGGTTCGCTGGAACTTTAATCCATATTGATTTAACAATGAGTGCAGGTATTATAATAACATTATAATAACAATGGGAGAAGAAGAATAATAAAATGCCTTATTCACAAGTAAAGAGTGAACTAACACACACTAGTCAAAGAGACGCGACAGGATAAAAGGCTTTTCTTTGCTACACATTTTCAATAAGTTTAATCCTGTTTTCATTGCGACACTTTTACGATTTCTCTAAGCTAGTTTGAGCGATCCGCTTTGCAAAGACACAAATGTCTCAACACACGCGAGTGAAAGTCACCACGTCTTTTCAAGAATGGCAAATTGATAAATAACTCCAAAGTCAAGAGTTATTTGGCCCTCAAATGGCTTCCGAAGGGGCACATTGTCAATAAAAA